AAATTAGGTCGGTTTAATATAGCTACTTTGGCCAACATCTATTTTAGTCAATGGCTATTTCCTACCACTGACTTTTTAACTTAAACTCCTGCTGCACAGCAGTGGTCAAATGGAATTTCATCATGTTACTAACTGAAAATTGAAATCCATTCATTTTTTGGGGCTGTTTTCTACCATCTCAGAGTAAAATTGCATACGGCCGATTTCTGGGGACAACGAAGGGCGTTCTTACTGCGTTTCATGCAAAAGCAACACTGGAGCACCCAGTCTAAATATAACAAAGGCTACTGACCTTTTCTAACAAAAGTGGGCTGTCATGCTCAAAGAAACTTCCACTCAAACACCTCCCCAAGCATTCAGGAACACCTACGACCAACACTCATGCCATCTGACTCAAAATACCAGGAAGTGAAATACTGTCAGCACGCAGATGAGAAAATACCAGGGTTGTGTTGGAACTGCCACTACATTGAGATGCCTGATGCAAATTTATTGAGAGGGAGATGCAAATGTATCAATAAAAAATACTGAACACATCAACCACATTCCTTGGAATGTTCTAGAAACTATCAACTGGGTGGGGGAGGAGGGGGGTCCTACCACCAGAGCTGGGTTTGTGTACACAGTGTAGAGGCAATCTGATACAGCCCAGAGGCCTTCATCACAAAGCCGGATTTCTCACTTGGCTGGATAACTTGTCAGATTTAAGGTAACCAAGCTTAAGTGAACTTAATCTTAATTCACTAACATTTATCCCAGACTACCTTGAGTCTGACAAGTTATCCGGCTAAGCAAGAAATCTGGCTCCACGATGCAGGGCCCAGATTGTGAATCTGTCATCCCAGCAGACAATCGGACAAACCGCTCCAGTAAGGAGATAAGCAACCCCCCCACCCTCCGCTCCCCAGGGACAGGCCTACCTACTTCAGACCCAACTAGCCGCTCCAGAACACACTATTCCTCTCTCCAGCTTCAATTTACTGTCATCAGGTTTGCTCTTTGGGCAGTGAAACATCTCCATATTAGTTAAGTTAATGATGAAGGGGGGGGGGGGGGGGTCTGCTGAACCTGAGGACAGTACATCTTGTTGTACCCCCACCAGCAAAAAAAATCCATGGATTCTAGAGCACAAAATCCAATACAATCACAGCTCTCGTACCTGCAAGCCAAGAGAACCAAACCTCACATTTGCTCTAAAACAAAGGCCACTGGGACCATTTGTTGTTTTAATGCTTTGATGTGCAAAAACAGTGTCCCTCCACATTTTGCAGCGTAACTGCTAGATTCCACCAGTGTATATTGGGACACGATAACACTTGTTCACTGTTAAAATTCCGTAACAGAATTCCAACAAGTTCTTCTAACGAGCAGTAAAAACTCAAATATTCCCACCCATTAAAAACACCTACTCCAGCCCAAGGCAACAGCAACAACAGCCAGAAAGTCCTTGTTTACTTAATCATGGCTGAACTCATTAACCCAAATAAGCACACCACCCCCCCGAAAGGGGCTATTATTGGGGGGGGGGGGGGGGATGGGTCGGAGGCAGACCACACACAATCCAGCCTGGATGAATAAATTTTTACCAAGTTCTCTCATGAAAGCACTGGCCTTAGTTGGAGGACAATGGGACATCAGTCAGGTTGATAACTTATAAGCAAACTGTTTGGAACAGATGAGTCTCTCTTAGGGGTGGGGGATCAAACTGAGGTCACCCAGGTTATCAGCACAGAGCCTCAGGTACACTGTCTGAGGAAGACGAGCTTAAGGTCACATACAATGTCACATAAAACGTGATCAGAGGATGGGTTACGTCGCCAAACGCGACCAGCTAGCAAGTCGCAGTTGAAACCCCACTGCGGTTTCTTTGTGGTTTCATTCGCCGAGTCGATCACGTTGGGCAGAGAGAAGACGGCGTACTACAGCCGGAGGAGGGCAGGAAGGCGACCGCGCTGCTGAGGTTGGACTTTCAAAAGAGTCACGTGTGTGAAGGTTCTCCACAGATACAAGCGTCAGTGCAGGCGTGCATAACCAGACCACATACGGCAGAGCTGCGAATCCGGAATAAAAGCCCGATTAACAACCCCAGACCACCCTGGAAATAGCCAAGCAACCTCCTGACTGATGATACACTCTCAAATGACACAGAACAAACAAACTTGGATTTAGTAGAAGGGGCCATGAAGGTAGGCAAGTTCTGGTATTGCAGTGTTACGAAAGACCATGGCTCCAAGGCTGGGGGGGGGGGCTAATGTGCACAGGAACCAAAAATGAGAGTTGGCTTCCACTAGACCGCGTTTCAGCATAAATATTTTTCTAGGCCGACTCAAAAGCCAAGCTTACAAGAGAAAGGACCACAAGAGACGCCGAGTGAGTGACCTTATTCCCTCGAATCATCAGTGCCACTGCACGCGTGTGTACACCCCCGAGCCTCAGGCTACACGCGCACCCCACCTGGCTAATGCTCACTCCCATTTATCGGGACGTGACCAGCCGACCAGGTGAGATGGTCGGGGGGCATGAAACCAGACGTCAGAGCGTCTAAAACAGGAGGCAGGTGTCGCTGGGAGGGTAGGGGAGACGCAAGCGAGGCCTTTCAACCACCTGCCAGAGAGCTGACACTAAGGGCCAGGGGGCCAAGGAACGGGGAGGCGGGCAGTGCAGAGAAGGACCCATCTGCAGTACACACACACACACACACACACACACACCTTCTCTCCCTGTACACTGCGAGAAAAAAAATGGGTACAGCCTTGCTACAGTTTTGTTCCCCAAGATACAAATAACATTAATGTCCCCCCAATGGTACAAAAATGTTCCTCGGAGTCCATTTATGTACTTTAAAAGCTACATTTACCTACAGCTATAGGGTACAGTTGGCAAACCCCTGAGGGTAGAGCCCCAGTGACAAGTAACTGTACACTCAAAATACAAATGAGTACTTTCTTTCCCCCCCTGACAGTGTACCTCAGCATCCTTCACCTGAGTCACTGTCTTTGGGCCATTCCGTCAAACACCAAAGCCCTTGTCTAATCACTCGAAAAGCCACAGCCAGCGCAGGGTAATCTCACAATTATCTGCCAGCACGAGGTGATTGGGCACTTTACTGGACATGCTAGTAGGACTAAACAAACCATGTATCTATGCAGAGGAGCCAAAGTCAATGTGACCCCCAACAAACAGTGCCGTGGAAAGAGGGGCGTACACACACACACACACACACACACACACACACACACACACACGCACAGGGAAATTTGCATAAATAAGGGGAAAGTTGCAGAAATTAAAGCACTAAAGAGGATATTCCATTCAAGCCCGCGGTAAAGACATTACCACACAAACTGACTGATGGAAAATGTTTAATTCATCGAACACCTACCCAGAAAGCTCAAGCAGGAAAGGTTAAAACGCTCAGGTGTTTGTCCTCAATTAAGAGAAACAAACAGCGCAGGCATCACGACGCGCCCATGCGGTGCCCTGAGTGGGGAGCTGGTGCAATTCACACTAATCCCTGTTCACGTTTCGCCTCACCCTACACTTCTCGCACTGTGTAATCCTCATTTCAAGCCACACACACACACACACACACACACACACACACACACACACACACACACACACACACACACACACANCACACACACACACACACACACACACACACACACACACACACACACACACACACACACAGGGATGAGAGGGAAGCAGCTGCTCATCTACATATGCACACAGCCCATCGTGAGCAGGGAGGACAGTCCTGTCGCGCAGGAGAGAGCTTCACTCCGCCGGCCCACGAGACCCGGCTCTTTAGTTCATGCCACAAGAAAGCAAAAAAAAACACACCGCACTGGAGCCAAAACAAAAAATGCGAAGGGTGGCGGCACAATTACCGCATTACGTAACGGCCTAAATGGGAGACATTGTCCGCTTAATTGCCGCGGTTGCCGGGGAGGGGGAAGAGGGCGCCGGCCGGCCCCGTTTTCTAGACGCCGGACGCACATTCACCGGGGAACAAAAGCAGCAGGTGCTCACCTGCGGGAACGCGACGCCGGCGCGGCAGGTGCACGGCGGCGCTAACGTGCCGGGCGAAGGATGCCCTTTTGTAATGGAGTGTAAACAGAGCCCTGTGACATGCGTCCAGCACAGTGTTATTACCGACCCGTCAGAGCAAAGTCCAAACGGGGGAAGCATCCAGCTGGTCAAACGGGGCCAGGTTTTAAAGTGGCTTTTTATAAAACACCGTTGGCCGAGCAGGAAAAGCCGCCTGCCACCATCGTTAAACGGTGAAAGTGGCACCTGGCACCGTCATCTCAGCAGTTATTGTCACAGCCAGGAAGATGGGGGGGGGGGGGGGGTGACTGGACCGGAGGAAACGCTCCCACCACGTCTGTATCTGAGGCAACACGTAGCTGATAACGTCAGGATGCTTCTGGAGGCGGAGGAGTGGAGTCGCTGGCAGGGGTACAGACGGCCAACATGCCTGCCCTTTCAGTTCAGTTTCAGAAAAACAGCAGCTCCATTCTAAGTGGCACTGGGCCAGTGCAGACCCAATTGGGAACTGGATAGGCACATACCCAGAAACTGGGCTCACAGATACAAACAAACAGACGAAAGCCCAGAAAAGCAAATTAAATCTCGAGCTGAAGGCCAGGTCCACAAAGCAGAGAACCACAGGTACTTACATTCAGTACAAACCGGGGTCACCAGCGACTAAACACCTACAGTGTAAAGAGGCATTGAGCAAACTGCAATTACCAGCTGCTGGAATTACTGCAGGCAAGTATTAAAGTCTTCGGGGGTAGGGGTCAGATGTGTGCCTACCCAAGGCAGAGGAAATGTATTCTTTGTTCAGCAATTTTTTGTCCAGATGCTGAACAATACCTTAAAATAAAATGTGGAATCATATATACACACTCATACCTTACAGGACTGCAATCATGACCACGAAGAAGCCGGATTTCATAAAAGAACAATTCATCTTCACACAAACTCACGTTGCCGAGGTTGACGAGGCCATGCTTCTGGGCGATCTGGTCAGCTGCCTCCGCACCGCCGGAGACGTGGACAGCCCAGGAGTTGCTGTAGACCAGCTCCGCCAGGGACAGGCCGACCACGGAGGCCAGGAGGGCCAGCAGGGGGCAGAGCTGGAGCTGGGGAAGCCTGAGGTCCATGGAGAAGGACAGGGCAGGGGGACACCTGCTGGCAGGTCCCAAGGCGAAGTCCCAGAGCACAGCTACTTTAGCGTGCGGCCTTGTCAAGAGGACCCCGACAGGCAAGGAGGAGTCAGCGCAGCAAGAAAGGGGTCACCTGATGGGAGACAGGGACAAAACACCAATCTATTACACATACTCACCAAGACAACCACCTGGGGAAGAAAGCCCAAGCGGTAATCAGACGAATCTCCAAGGCTACGGACACCGATGTACTGCCATGTTTAAATCGTGAGCTCGCATCCCCGCAGTTTGAGGTACAGCTTATTCTCAGCTGACGGCTTCCTATATAAACACACTCCCTAACCGTATCAGTCCACTTCAGACGCGGTCGTCTTAAGGTCAGAATATTTTCCGACCAAAACCATGACGCGCAACTGAAAACGACCCGGGTCCTTCACAGATATCGGCTACAGACGTAGACTGTGTTAATTTGAATATTTATTTCCTTGGGTGAGTTTCCGCTCCCTGGCAGGCCAAGTGCCAAAAATGGACTGTGGAGAAGGAGGGGGGGGGATGACGCATACAACGCTTTCCGTTATGGGGGTTCACATAACAAGCAGCGAAATCAAGGCAAAAACTAACAAATATCAGACGTTACAAGTTACCTACGGATCGGCTTCAAATGGCAGTCAATTTGGGAAAAATCACACGCAGAACACCACAGTACTTGTACGGACAACAGAAATAAAAGGATTTGTATAAGGAACACCGATCAGGGAAGGGAGAAAAAAAAAAATGAAAACCAAGGAGACACAGGTTTACAAAACTAGAGAACAGTAAAACCAGCTCATATTTAGACAAAAATTCTATTTCAGCTGAAGAGAGAAACATAACCATCCTTTAGAGCAAATGAGCAAAAAGGCCAGACAATCTCCCAGAAGCCACTGAGGTGAAAAGCAGATGCTTCATCTCAGGAGCCCTGAACTTCAGCAACACAAACCACTGCGCACAGCATCACCAGAAAAGAAAAATAAAACCACAGTCTGCCCGTTCTAGTGAAATTCACTTAGCTCCGACTCATCGTCGAAACGAGAAGCCAGAGGCGAACAAGCGGTCGGGGAGGGGAGGGGGCCAAATCTGAGCTCACAATTTCTTCAAAGACCAAAGCATTTCAAACGAAAGCGGTTAGACGAGGTTCTCTCTCTGCCAGAGGCTCCCCAGGGGCGATAGAGACACGTAACAGGGACGGAAATGGGAAACACCCCGATCTCGATCTGGTGCACATTTGGCTTGTGGGAATTCACAAGAATCCATCTCAAAAAATACTACCGACAATTACTACATGAGCAGCGCTAAAAAAGTGCAGGAAAAAAAATGTAAGTTAAAGTCATACCCTTTAATCCTGGGAAAACGGGAGAGGTGTTACAGAGTGTTACCTACCTAGTAACTCTTTCCTGGCAGCCACTGGCATGAACCAACCGATGCTGAACTGCGTCTGGCTATCATACACATTTCCTCATTCTTCAAAAGCTTCTTTTTTTTTCACCCTTTTGAACAAAACCTGACATTCTTGGACAAGGAGTGAACCTTCAAATAGCAAGTACAACAATCACCGAGACAGCACCGGAGAACTGGACTCACGATAGTGCCAGAGACCTGTCCTGGAAAAAATACAAATTGGATAACTAATTTCCCTGCAGCCCTGTGGAGACTGCCTTCGGCACCCGACCTGCTATACCCTTTATTGACAGACGCCATCCAAAAGCATTCTAAAACACATACAGAATCACAGATTGCAATTAACACTTTGATGTGACCAAGAAAAAAAGATTTTGCTTTTAGCAAACCAGCTAAAAACGCACACAGTGGTGATGAAATTACCCTGGCATCCTCACTGCAATTGCTCTGCTTCCTGTTTACAAAACAAGAACGACGCAAATTCACTAGAAAGCGAAGCATAAGCGACTAGTCATCATCATTTCATTACACCATGGCTAAATTACTCAAGCCATAAAAAACTACAGCAAAGCCTGAGGACAATACCATCAGACATTCCCTTTCAGACAGAAAATGCCATCTCCTGCAGTTAGCAACCATGGTTATCAGTTTGGCTTTTCAGTTGCATTTCCCAGCCAGTACCTTTCCTGAGCATCAGACTTCAATGCTGTGATCATAAGCTAAACAGCAGCTCATCAGAAAGAATGACTGCTATTCTCTACCAGTTACCCAGAAAAACAGAAATACCTTAATCTTCGCCAAAAGAAAATCTTGTTTCTTCAAATTCTACTTCAAGAAGTAAATGCCTTCCTGACGGAAATGAGACAGAACTGCATCTGACATCTGCAGATCACTCTCACCTGTGCTCAAACAACCGCCCCCCGCCTCCCGATGCTCATGAAGACACATACATCAATCCAACCAGCAGAACACACCCCCAAATGGCTCAGTCAGCCGTCCTCACGCACACTTCTGCCCCAGCAACCCAACACCACATTTCCTTATAGCCCAGAAACGGGGCTGGTTCCACTCAGAGAGCATTCACAGCCAAATACTGCCAAAGCAAGACCGCCACCACCCCCTCCACATGGCTTAAACTGCATTTAAATTTACGGGCGCTCACCTCGAAGTTTCCGTTTGTGTCTACGCTATCTATCGTTACGATGTGAAGCGCACAAGCAACACAGCCAGCACGACTTCCGCGCTCTTCCACATCCCAAATGTACATCCATCCCTTGGTGACCTCGAACCCCAGTATTACCATGAATAACCATGATTAAAAAAAAAAACTGGACGAGTTCAAATACTCAAACATCTGGAGAAGGGCAACGATAACCAATGCCAGCGACTTCCAGCATGAAAAATTAACTCTGGTTTTGAAGTTGTTCTACAATTTACTTTAGATGTGGAAATTATAAAAAGTTCAATATCACTGTGTTCAGAACACAAGGTCACCTAGAGATATATCTTTATAATATACACATCAAGTTTGCTATTCAAAACTAATGCGAGAAATCTATGACTTTTGAACTGAAGTCGTGGATCCAAAGGACATGTCCAACATTACAAAACCAAGGTCCTTGATCTAATATTCAAAAGGCCCCCAGGAGACTTACCAATCTGCAAAATATCACGCATTTCAAGACCAATATGCAGCATGAGAAACTTTAAGGATCTCTGTGGGTTTCTCGCACGAAAGAAAATTACATTTTGCTTGCAGGACCGGCAGATTACAAAATTAAACGTAGAAGCTCCACCTGAACTGTGAGTCAACAGAGACGAGATAAGGCCATAACATCATCCACATCCGACAATGAGTCACCCCAGTCTGTCTGTAAATGCTGGGTTCACATCGAGTGAAACTGCATCGGAAAAAATCCTGCAGCTCAAAATATGTACACAGCACCTTCACTACATATTAAAATAAGTGTTATCCGAGTATAGTGAAAATAAGTATAGCCAACATATGAAAGAATCCATGCGCCAAGATGCACTGCAAATTGAATAAATTCAACAATAAAACCGACTCGTTTTAAAGCAAGTAAAAACAAGCAATTAAACCCCCGTTAATATAAACTTTTCGTCCATAAGGAGCGAGGGAGCGCGCGAATCACAGTTCCAATCGGACATTCATAGGTAAGAACATCGAAATTAAAGCAATAAAAAATAAAATATAATGCAAATACCTCGCAATCTAAGAGAAGAGGAAAATAAACGACAATATCCATGATAAATAAAAATCCAGTCAAAATGTCTAAAAATCAAACCGATAACCATCGCATGTCCAACATCAGGAAACGCCAGCCAGGTCCAGCTACTTAAACCTTTAAAATGCCATTAATGTTTCGTTTTTGCTTTAAAGACAGCTTATCTTAAGGTCATACAAATCAACGCAGGCTACATACACCCGTTATAAAAATACGCGCATACTTGCAACAGCTTCGATTGGACACATCTGTACCTTACTTCCCGGCTTGACTACAGCTCACGGTGAAACGAGGAAAAGATAAAATACTCTGAAAGCGGAACTATAAAAGGTTACGTTTTATTATTTAACATTTTGTAACGGGATCCGATGGCACCAGGTCCAGCATAGAGGAGTCTCCGGTTACCGGAGGGGCAGCCCGCCGCGTCCCATTTGCGAATTTTCTGGGGTTTTCATTCATCATGCGTATTATGTAAACAAAGAGTAGTTAAACTGTTTCACTTGTTTATCTACGTGTTCGTGGTAATTTCAGACTGGAATCGTAGCTAAACAAAACCCAAGTTTCAAATGAACTTACCATACTTGTGACACAACCGATTGCTGACATATTTCGACAAGCACTATGTCCCGAGTAAGTTTACCAACCAGATCCCGAGATCGGACGAATGGTGAAACTTTTGTAAGCTGGCTTTAAGTAGCACCTCCCAAACAGCAAAAACATGACATTCAAGAACAGTAGGTTATAACAGCTGGGTTTGTACAGACGTCATAGCGCGTATCTTACCACAAACAGTTCAGCAATTTGCTCCCCCCGCACCACCCGGAGGCTAACTTAAAAAGGGAATATTTCTGAATGTTTGCATCGATCCATTTTCTCGGGAGGTGGTCCCTACGGGTCCAGCTAAGCACGAACGCGCTGAAATCGTCCGACTCTGTTTGCCAAACGTGCGTCTCTGCTCTCGGTGGACAGTCTGCTTTTTCCCATGGCTTCCTTTATTGCTGGCCCCCACCCAATCAAACTAAACCCAGCCCAACACCATGAACTCATCTGACCGCAAATACTCTACACGTCGATAGCAATATTACTGTAGAGCAGCCCACTGTACCTAATGACGACCGGCTGCAGTGGCGGCGTCATGTTTCGGTTGCGCCCGGCTTCAGGGTCTGTTGCGGCGGCGTAGCTCTAAGCGCTCCCGGTGCGCCTCCCCAGCCGGCAAGCAGGCAATGGCCGTGGTGTGCAGCGGCAATTCCTTAAGGAGCCAGGGATCTCTTGACTCTTCACTGAGGCTAATGCGCATTACTTCATACCACTTCCACATGCAGTATTATCAGAATACAGAGGGGAACTTTCCTGTGCTTTTCTCCCCCTTCCCCTATCGGTGGTCTTCAGTTGCAAAGCACGCACGCAATAACCTCTCCAACCGCGGCATTACGCTGCGTAAACAGCGCGTTAGGGCACTGGGCGGTTATTTGAAACTCCTACGCCACCCATGGCTCCTTCGCGGTTCAAATCAATCTGTTTTTCACGGAAAAAAAGCCACAAAACACACCTCCCCCCTCCTTTACGACCTCCAGTGAGAAGTAGTTCACATGCCCCAGGAAACACGTCACTGTCAGGGAACGCTCCGGCAGGACGAGTCCTATTTGGGCACGCCTCCTTTACTCCAACTCCAATGCTTGCTTTCTGTCTTTTGCCAACCGATTCAGAACCAGTGCGCAGCCCGCACTTACCCACATTTCATGACTATTACCACTGATCTGGAGTCGGCTGCGAGAAGCAGACATTTTTTTCCACTGAATTCCCCACTTTACATAAAACCAATGATCTACCCCCACCTACTGGCCGATGAAAGCACGCCAGAAATGAACAACGCATTCATTTTGCAGAAACTTGTTTTTGGCAGACAAGTCAGTCCACACACGGCACAAACAAGTATTAACTAAACATTCACAGACATATTTCGAGAATAAAGGTAATCAGTGAAATTTACGTTTATTTTCATTTAGCAGACGCTTCTTTTCAAAGCGACGTACAAATCTGGCACATTACAACCATACGTGCAGCCGAGGAGTTGACATAACCGCGGCTAAGCTGAGCTTCCAGTGAATGCCCACTTACAAGTGTAACGTTTAAGAAAGGTTAAAGGGATGCTTTTCACGTTCTTGGTAATTATTGGGACACCAGAGACATGGCGAAAACCCTCTATCTTAAGGATCCCCGTGAAAAATGAAGTAGGCTGGTGTCGTACTCATTTTCAGTTCAGGGTCCATAGCCTGCTTTAGATTTCGATGTGTATAGTAAACATCGCCACCTGGCCGCCCTACTGGGGAACTTCCGACAGCCTGAAAACTCAGGATTATGACATCTGAGGTACCAAAATTATAACAGCTAGTACTCAAGAAAAAAAACAAACACACGTCATCTAACTCCCTCTTTGTGATGTACTCCCCTCTCTAAAATCTAGGCTATTGTTTTTTACAGAATTACAGGTTAAGTGACAATAATATTTTCCTAATGAGATTTTCTTAAAAATCCATGGGATAACACGTGCGCAGTCTATTCCCGTCACATTACCTTAACCATGATTACTATTACGAAATGAATGGCTAAATTTCTGTAGGACAGAAACGAGGCAGAATAACAACCCAAGTATGGTGAAACAAATCAATTAAGGCGTCTGTACAAGGTCCATGAAACGTAGCCATCTGGGTTGCATACTTTAATGAACTAGATCTAGGCCTATATATTAGGCAGAGCTATATTAAATCGAGTTACACGAAACGACAACCAACTGTTTGATTACACTACCGCCAAAGTGAGGGAGAGGACAAAATATCACTCAAAGTGTGTAAATTTATGCTATATAACTTAAGAGAGAAATACAATGAGCCGTAGTACGACATACTTTATGGAAAGGATTTATATGGCGTTTATGCTCTGTGAATGAACAGAAAAGTTTCACGACGAAAAAATGTAAAACTAAGACAAACTTCTGGTTCGGCTCGCGTTTCCTTTTAACTTGGCTGGATTTTGAAGACGGATATTTACCGAATGATGCATGTGACTGTGCATCCAGGTTAAGGTTAATTAGTCCTTGGCGGCATGACTCCAATGGGGTGCCCGAACCTGTCCTAGGCGAAAACTCGCACTTTTCTACACAATTAAACGCGACCCATTGTGCGCATGCGTTGTGTGAGCAGGTAACGCCAGCATTTGATGAAAATGGTTTAACAGCTTGTCGCTCTGGAAAAGAGTTATTTCATTTTATTAATTTTATATGTCAATTTAATACAAAAAATACGCCAGGATATCCAGTCCTTCAGTGGCAGAGTGTAACATTCTACAGAACAGGTTTACAGGATGTATGGTTAACACCTAACGCGCCAGGCAACGTGATTTTTAATTTAGTTGAACACGTCAATAAAGTGATTAAGCTTAGAAGTCAGTAATATAAGAATGACAAAACCTTGTTCACAAGTCCCCTTCTTTAAAACATTTTGGCATGGCAAATATTGACATTTCTGAAGTATGTGTGGAATATTGTAGGCTACTTGTTTATGGAGTTGTTAATCGAAATAAAGATTTGCATCAATGCTTCCTGCCAACGCGAATGTCAACATACATATACACACACAAAGCTGTGCCGAATGTAGTTGTTAGCAGATGTGACAGTTAGCCGTGATTTATTATAGTTTATTAAAGCTGTGAGTGGTGGAGAAATCCTGTGGAACAAAAGTCAACATAAACGTAGAGATTTTGAGTGAGGTATCTGCTGAAATACATGATTTACGACAGCATAACGATAACTAATTATATTTTTAAATTCTGCATGTTAGTAAGTCACCATCATACCATATGCGAGAGAAACATTCAGTTCTACCTACCAGCCTAAGGCGTTGCCATGGGGACCACTGATGAACCACTGAACTTGTAGTACTTTTCCGAAATGGCTGCCATTGCACCTACCAATGAACTGTTAAATTATACATTTCCAAAGCGGCTGCTATGGTTTCCGTCACTGAACTGTTAAATTATACATATTAATTCAAAATGGCAGCCATGGCCTCTGTCCATAAATGAAAACATTTACCTGTGATGTTGCTCATTCAGTTTAATTCCTTTTGATACTTCAGACATACTGAGTACCTCTTTTGTGATGGAATTTGTGGAATATACGACCTTTGGCACACAAGATTAGTACAAATCATCAAGAATGGTGTTTTTGTAACTGTTCTCTGCATGATTATGAAATGTTGCACATTTAAAGGGATCCAGTAATATTGGTGTGACATGTGGAGAGGGTCTACATAACACATTTCCCCAGGAGTTCTTCAAGCACGATACTTCACTGCTAACAAATGCTATAAATGTCACATTTATATTGGGGTGTAGTTCTTAGTTCAGATTTTGCATATTTACTCTCCTCTTTGTGTGGTTTTCCCATAATTTGGGGTCCATAAGGTTGGTCTTCAGAAAACATTTTTATTCTGCCAATAAAAGCATTATTGTACCTATGGAAAATAAAAATATGAAGAATTGTGGTCTATAGTATAAAAATATTCAAAAACTCTTTACAACTATTCCTTCATAATGCATTCATTATGCGTTCATAGAACATTCAGTGTGCCTTCATAATTAATTCATAGAACATTCAGTGTGCCTTCATAATGCATTCATAGAACATTCATAAGCAGCATGTTAAATATACCATAACATCCAAACATACCTTAACAGCATTACTAGACATTAATAACAAACTTAATATGATGATAACAAAGATTATAATTGTATGATCATATAATTATTATTAATGTATATTAAAGCTGTTATGGCAGTGGTTCTTAACTTTTTGTTGCACTGCGACCCAATTTTTCCTAGGCAACCTCAGTCATGCCCACTCCCTTGGCTGAGAAGCAACCCCACACACTAATGGTCTCAGGATGCTTTACTGTTGGCGGGACACAGGACTGATGGTAGTGCTCACCTTTTCTTCTCTGGATGCCCCAAACAATTGGAAAGTGGATTCATCAGTGAAAATGACTTTACCCCAGTCCTCAGCAGTCCAATCCCTGTTTGTTTTGCAGAATATCAGTCAGTCCCTTATGTTTTAGAATTAGAATTTAGTGATCAGTGTTGACACACCACAGCACACAACAACGAAATGCATTTGACCCATATGTGACGTCGTTCCTTGCTCAGGGTACCTCAGTGGTGCCTTGCTGGTCAGGGACTCAAACCTGCAATCTTTCAATTGCAGGTGTGCTTCCCTAACCATTAAGCCACCACTGCCCACAGAGAGAAGTGGCTTCTTTGCTGCCCTTCTTGGCACCAGGCCATCCTCCAAAAGTCTTCGCCTCACTGTGCATGCAGATGCACACACACCTGCCTGCTGCCATTCCTGAGCAAGCTCTGCACTGGTGGTGCCCTGATCCCGCAGCTGAATTAACTTTAGGAGACAATCCTGGCTCTTGCTGGACTTTCTTGGGTGCCCTGAATCCATCTTCACAACAATTAAATCTCTCTACTTGATGATCAGATAAATGGTTGATTTAGGTGCAGTCTTACTAGCAGCAATATCCTTGCCTGCGAAGCCATTTTTGTGTAAAGCAGTGATGACTGCAGATGTTTCCTTGCAGGTAACCATGGTTAACAGAGGAAGAACAATGATTTCAAGCACCACCCTCCTTTTAAAGCATCCAGTCTGCTATTCTAACTCAATCAGCATGACAGAGTGACCTCCAGCCTTGTCCTCATCAACACTGTCACTGTGTTAACAAGAGAACCATTGAAATGATGTCTGCAGGTCCTTTTGTGGTAGGGCTGAAATGCAGTGGAAATTGGTTTTTTGGGATTATGTTCATTTTCATGACAAAGAGGGACTTTGCAATTAATTGCAATTCATCTGATCACTCTTCATAACATTCTGGAGTTTATGCAGATTGACATCATAAAAACTGAGGCAGCAGACTTTGTGAAAATGAATATTTGTGTCATTGTCAAAACTTTTGGCCATGGCTATACAATATATGAAGAATGAAGGTTTGGTCATAAGGATATCATTTTCCTGTACAGCATTTCCTGTTAAAGGAGTAGCATATCTTATCTTCAAGCACCTGGAAACCTGGCCCTCTTCTCAAACGTGTTACAAAGGTCGAGGATCTATGTGCGTGTAGGCGGAGTCATTGTGCATGTTCCTGGCTGAAATGGTGAATCATAACGATTTACTGTACAAATTGTGCACTGAGTGCAATGAGTCCACTTTTTACCTGTGTTTGGATCAGGATTGCCCTGATTGTGGTAAAAAGCGTTAACTAGCTACATGACTTTAGAGCTGTCAGCGTGCTGGGCCGTAGAAATCCTTTTCTTTTTCTCAGCAACAGAGCAACGTCAGGTCAAGTAACTGATCCCATATTCAGGTAGCCAGTGATGAGACGACACAGAGTAAGACACACCCTTTCATATGTTTCCTGAAATTGTAAGGTGAACTGAAGGTCAGTGTCACTCACTCCCTGGTACAAGGTAAGAACTCACAGCACTTCCGCTTTGGGAAAGAAAGTCTAATGAGCATTTTAAAAGTGTTTATATTATTAAAGTGGTTCT